AAGAAATTATGATTGATTTGCAAAATGATGTTGAAGCAAAGATTTTGTATACACAGGATAATATTGAATGTTTTTGGGTAAATAATAGACACAGATATAAAATGCTTTGGAATGAGATCAAGTTATTAATTATGGCATTTCCAACTTCTTATCTTGTAGAAAAAGGATTTAGTGCTATTGTACAGTTATTGTCCAAACAAAGAAATCGGTTACAATTAACACAAAAAGGTGATTTACGATTACTTTTGACAAATTTCGAACCAAAGATAAACAAATTGGCTCAATTTCATCAGCCTCAAGGTTCGCACTAACAATAATTTTTCTGTATACTTAAACATTTTATATTCAATAAAAAGTGTTTCATTTTTTTATATTTGTTAAATTTGTTAATACTTATGTTTTTTAACTTTGTTAATTATATTAAAATCTTATACGTATTCTGAATAAATAAATGTTTAATTTTTTTACAAATTATATAATTATGAAATAAACTAATAAACCCAACGAAATTTTTTTCGAATTGAAGATGGCGATACTACGTAACGGTTTTATTGAAGGGGGCGATACTACGTAACGGTTTTATTGAAGGGGGCGACGATTCGTTAGAGGTTGAGAAACACTGATCTATACCCTGTTTGAAGCTTAATAACTTCCGTGCTTTTGGTCGAAAATTTCTGAAATTTTGAAGGAAGGTTTGTTTATTAAGAAGATTGATGCTATTAAATTTTGGTGGTTAAAGGGCGACGGGTGAAGAGATAATGGTGGTCGTGTGTATCTGCAGTAGAGTAAAATCGTCATTAAGTCCGACCCTATTTATAAGCATATACGATTTTTTATTAAACTCATCCCCATTCTCAAAATTAAGCTTTTTGCTACTTTATAAAATATAAAAAGTTTTTTAATAAAATATGATANTATCTAGAAAAAATGTAAATAAAGTTATAATTACTAACCACATAAACTATTTTCACATCTACTACCATTACATTTACTACAAGCTTCACCTGATTGATAAGGTGCTTTCCCTCGAATATTGATTCTGTATACAAAGAGTAATCATGAATATATTATTTTACAGATTCGTTAAATACAGTCGATCCCCTATAACACTGTTGATAATTCCGTTTTGTATGAATTCCATGTTGTACGAGTCACTTAAAATACGTGTGCCGTTCTGTGAACGGCTCACGTATTTGTAAAATCTAAGTGACTCGTACAACGTGGAATTCATATAAAACGGAATAATCGACAGTGTTATAGGGGGGCCGACTGTATAAATAATTTAATAAATTACTTTGGAAAATAGTTGCAAACCATCATAAATTTAAAACCAGTTTTCAAACAATCTGTTAGCGAACAGCCAACGAAACGAACATCAGCCGAAATCATCTGAATGAATAGTTATATTATAGAATAGTTCATAATATATTCTTAAATTTATATTTAAGTATCTTGCAATTCTTACAGTAAGATATTTATCACAATTGCTGTTTTTATCGCATGTAGCATTAGAGTAATTATAATGTTGAGATTCCCCGTTCCAAATTTGTAAAATAGTCTCGAATGGTTCGTATCCGATGTATACATTCTGATTGATTTTGTGTAAACATCCAGCAGGGCCACTACTTTCGTCTACATTGCATCGATCGGACCACAACTTAGCTAAATTTGCTAAAGTGTCACTCCATTCCTAGAAAAGAATTTCATGTAAACAATGAAGAACACGGATTCGTTGGGCCCGTACTTTTACCATGCAGTCGCCATTGTGGGTCCCGACTGTTCGTGCTCCCGACAGACTTCTTCTAGAGGAGAGCCGCCGATTGTTTAACGTCACTAGTGATTGATTCACGATAGTTCTTGAACACACGTATCAATAACTAGTATGTATCAATTCATGTCCGTCGGGAGCACGAACAGTCGCGACCGCTGCCATGACGGTGCACATAGGTAAAGATTGACCCAGCCAGGAAAGTAAAACTTAATTTTACTGTAAATTGTTTTCTATTTTAATTAATCTTAAAATCTATTTGAAGTTATTCATGATAAATGTATAAAATATTCTAGTTTTTTAAAAAAAAATTATATAAAGAACGTTAACGTTTTATGTTTTACAAACCAATTTCATCATATTGGCAGCCATTGGTTTAGTGTTATTTCTATAGAAATTAATCAAATTTAAAATATCACTTCGTTCGTCTTCCGTGAAACCATACTTTTTACTGGAACGTTTATATATTTTTTTAATTTCCTTCACTATAGAACTGTTATTGAAATATTCCTCTTTGGATATCTCTCTACTTTCGAACTGGTCACTGGAAAGAAGAAACAATCCACTTTTCGAACAGTTTACTGGAAGGAAGAAACAATACAGAAGAATCATACAAATGAACCACATCGTGAAATTTCTTCTACTTGTCTTCTAAAAGATTTGAAACTCCGTTTATCGAACATAATTCTATTGAAACGTATATTTTTTTTTATTCTATTTTTATTGTTCAAAAAATGAAATTTATTCTATTTTAAATGGAATTATATTGGAAATAATAAAATACAATATTTTTAAAATCTTTTTATAAATACTTTTTAAAATTTCTGTATGTGTAGATAAACAAAATCGCGCCCCCACACACATACACGTTAGTTTGTGTGTGGGGGCGCGATTTTGTTCATCTATACCAGTGTTTCTCAACGGGGGCGATATCGCCTCCAGGTGGGCGATTTTTCCATGTTGGGGGGCGATTAGTAACAATTTATATTTTGGGGGGCGATTTTCAATTTTCTGGGGGCGATATAGTAAAACATTATATTAAGAATAATTAGATATTTTATTCATTATATCTGTTATGTAATAAATGATCTTTATGTTTATGCTTCTGTTTTTGCTAAAAAGAGACAGGACAAACTTTGCTTCGAACTAGCGTTCATCAAACGCTCTCGTTCTCGTCTCGTCTTTTCTCACGAGAGTTATGAGACACATTTATTGATAATTTAAATAATTACAATTGTAGAAAATATTTATAAAAAACTAGATAAAATTAAATTATGGAGTATTTAAACAATAATAAATTTATAAAACATAAATATGAGAAAATAACAAAAAAAAAACGTAATATCCGCGGGGTGGCGACATCCATCACCCCACCATCCAATATTTCGTGTCACTATGCTGTCGAATTTTCAAATCCAGAGGCATTAGGCCCGCCAGTACACAGAGTGCATCGTGTGATGTAGTACAGTATGCTCCAGTAATTCTTAATAGCATTTTTCTTTGTAGGCTATTTATTTTCTGTTTCATGTGTGTCAACTCCATCCTCTTCCCCCAAATTTGGGCAGCATATGTAACAATTGGGATTACAGCACCTTTATAAATATGTGTTAAAGCCCTTCCACCTATACTCCATTCTTTACGTGCTACTTTCGCTATTTCTTGAAATAAGTTACCCACTTTTTTCTTAATTGTTTCTAGGTGTTCATTCCAGAAAAGTTTGTTGTCTATTGTTACTCCTAAATAGTTGACTTGGTTTACACATTTAATCGATTTATTTTGCATTTTAATTGTGGGTTGCCTTTTTGCCACTTTGCATGTTGTAAAGGCTATGGCGTTTGTCTTCTCTGGATTAAATTTAAGTTTGTTTGCATTTCCCCATTTCTCTATTTTATCCAGTATATTTTTGCATTTTATTTCTATTTGTTTTCTGCTTTTTGCCGAACAGATGACCATTATATCGTCAGCAAAAGCTGTTATTTTTGATTCTGATAATGTGTTGATTTTCAAGAGATCATTTAATATAATTGACCAAAAAATGGGTACAGAACAGGATCCCTGTG